ACTGCTTTAAGCTTACCACTCCAAACATCAGAAGCTGAAACACCACTGTTGCTACAATCATCCTATAGAAAATAAAAGGAAATAGGAATCATTACTTTCACAAAAAGACATCCAGTAAATAAATTATGCGTCCTCTTGAGGTCTACGCACGAAATTTCAGAACCCAACTGAGGTTAGGTTCAGGTTCGAGCGCAGGTCAGCCTTGCCTCTGTTTTCACGTGTTTGTTGTTGTTTTTCTGAAAAAAATTGCTTGCACGATTAAATTAATTCATTTTCTGTACCTGTTAAAAACCCTCGGCCACATCATGCCGCCACAGCTGTAGTTGGGGATGTAAATGCTTATAGTCTGATGCATCCACACAATGTAACCAAACCCAAAGTACAACGCAACAAACGGAGTTATGATGGGCGCCAATGCGGAGTAGGACAGGCCCACCATCAGAATAAAGAGATGGTTTGCGAACTGGAAATAAAGACAAGGGACGAAGACCGTCAATGAGGTAAAGTACTTTAAGAACCTTGCATAGTCACTCTTCAGATTAGCACTCTTATTGCAAAGAAAAAGTCATGCATTAGGTCTCAAAGGATCAACATCTAATACATCGAATGTCTCGTACGCTTTAGAAAGAATTGTGAAAACAAGTAGCTACAAATCATTGAAGCGTTGGTTGAATCATTTTCCTGCTACTTGTTCGTTAAAGTTTCCACTGAACTCGCAAAGCAGCGATTTAGGGATAAATCTATGTCGGCTGAGACTAACTCTGAGGAGTCAATGTTAAAGTGATGAGGAAAATTTCTCAAAAGCACACTTACTCATCCACATGCATTGCCCCACACTGTGTTTGCAATGCAGCCTCTTGCGCTCGCAAACATTCGGATGGCAATCATGTGTAAACCAAACTGTCTAGACTTGACGGGCTACCATATTTTCGTAAGTATAGGGCGTCGCTAGATCGCCTAACACAGGATCTTAATTATGATGCAATATAACGTAAGCATGGAATAGATCTTTCAACGAGATAGAGATATTGATGGGCGACTTTTTGTGGGACCATGATTATGAATTACTATAAGCGACTAAGAAAGATCTCTGCTTTAGATTTACATGTTCATATGGTAAACTTACCACTCGGTCATAAAGGACAGGTGGTGGTTTCCAGGCCAAATCGTCCTCACGGGGCGTCTTCACAAGCCACTTACGCTTAATTGACACCAGAATGAGAGGCACTATGCGCAATAGCTGCAGTGCATAACCAGTCAGAGTCGCCAGCATGATGTAACAAATGAAGAAGGTAGACTGCGAGGGAAGAGCTTCAGCTAAAAATGATGGAATCTGGCTCGGGTTATCTGCCATCTCTTTCAGTTTGTTTAAAGCTGAGCCAGCAAATGTCATGAACAAGAACTTGTTCACAAGCTGGCAACAAAACAAGATAAGGAGTTAGGAACAATCGATGTTGATCACCAGGGGGGGAGGGGAGGGGGGGGGG